CTGCAGAAGACAGTGACCTCGAGGAGGTTCTCAGGAGAGCATTGCCATTGGACCATCTGGGCTCTAGCTAGATATGCAGGTTCTGGACACTGCTCCTCCCTCAAGCCCCCTGGGGTGGGGCCCAGCCATCTGTGGAGATGCTGAGGTGGTAGGGTGCCTGCCAGGACTCCCTTTGAAGTTTCAGGCCCTCAGGGCATCCAGTTCCAGGGCTCCCTGTGGGATGCCAGGCCCTCGGGGCAGCTGCCCTGGACCTCAGTGCCCCCATAGATGCTGAGCCCAGGGGGCACTGCCCTTTGGCCTTCTCAGCAGCCCACTCTGTCTGCTGTTGGTTTCCCTGGAACTAAGAGCACAGTGGGGACCTTGATTCCAGACCCAGGTCTAGAAGGAGCACATCTGTGTCTCCAAGCCAAGACCAAAGGGGATGAGGCTGTTCTGAAGGCCTGGTAGGCTCGGCTGCTGTCTGGGGTTGTGTGTCACGAGCACCCTGAGTCTTTGGAAGCCGTCTCTGGAGCGGTGAAGTGAAATGCTGGGAGCCAAGCTGTCTGTCTGAATGCTGCGTTTATGGCTTCTTCGCTCTGTGTTTTGGGCACAATTTCTTTGCCTCATTTCCTCATCTGTGAAGTTGTGAGAAGGAAAGAATCGAATTCTAGCAGTCCCTGTGCAGACTAAATATGTAAAAGCCCACAAAGCACACAGAAGAACGCCTGGCACATTGTAGAAAGCTCAGTCAACGTTCACTACTACTTATTAGGTTTTCTAAATGTTAATGTTAGCAATGAAAAAATACTTCTTTAAAAAAGAAGTTATAAAACGTAGTAAAGAGATAAGAAAAATACCATTATTCATTATTTCTTCTGAGTCTTGATATTAAGAGTCATTAAATATTTCAAAAGGACTATGATAAGCTAAAAACCAGACATATCTTGGCTTTGGAATTCCCAGGAAATTAAATATGAATATCAATAAGACCACCACAAATAGCTCCTCAGGAATGTGTAAGCCCTATGTTTCAATCAGCTGACTTCGATAAAATCAATATTCACTTGTTTTAATAACTACATTCCTAAGAGTGTGCTGTGATATGGCACAATCCATGCTAGTAGGAGCGGTACTGGAATAACCTGACAGTTCTAGAGTGTTCTTTGTTCCAGGATCCTTAGGAGACTCTCGTAAGAATCGTTTCTACAAGATGAATACAGAGACAGCATTCACCACAGATCTGGAAAACAGCCAGCTCTAATTTCTTTTCTGACAAGTGGTTTGTCTTGGTTCTACTGAAGCTTCCTACAAAACATCGCCCTAACTGTGAGATAAGCACTGGACTGCTAACCACAAAGTCAGTCATTCAAATCCAGGAGCTGAGCTCGCAAACCCAACACAGGGTCAGTAGGAGTCGGACCAGACGTGACAACACCCATCTACCACCACCCACCACCTTCGCTGCTGGTGCTCAATGGAAGCTGGCCCTCTTTGCCCCAGATTCTAGATGATGGCAAGGGACCAACGGGTGGGAAATCTCCCAAGAGGCAGCTTGTGGATATGTGTTTTTCTTAAGTGCATCTCACTGTTGTCTTCCTTCTGGAGGTTTATTCTGCCCGGAAAATCCTCTCTTGAGTCTTCTAGGAGATGATTTCTAGCCCACATTGCCTAAGACTCGTCTCTCACATTGTAGCACTCAACTCCATTCATATGCATCTCATGCTTCTATATGCAAATCTCAGGCTCAGAAGTCGATGCTACGTGGCTGGAGCAACGGTGTTCATGCTCAGGCATCAGAACCAGTGGGGTTTGTGAAAACACACAGGCCACACCCCCACCGTTCCAGATCCAGCAGGTCTGGGGTGGAGCTCAAGGACTCCTGGAGATGCAATGGGCAAGAACTTGGCTGGTAAACCAGAAGGTCGGCAGTTCAACCCCCCACCAACCATTCTATGGAAGAAAGGTGTGGTGTCTGCTCCCATGAAGAAAACAGCCTAGGAAACCTACGGGAAGGTTCTACTCTGTCACGTGAATCACATTAAGTCACTATGATCTTCAAATTCCATTTCCCTCGAACTTAGTGAAGCCCTCTTGTATTTCCATTATAAGTACCGGTGTTCAGATCCAGGACCCACCCAGTCTGATGCATTCTCCCAGGGTAGTACTTCTCACCGTTAGGGGAATTTCTGGCAGACTCATCTGCTTCCCTGGCTATCCTGTTCTCCCTTTAAGATTGGAAACCACGCTGTGATCTCAGTGGTAAAAGAATCGGTGATGCACAGTAACTGCTAGGAACCACTTACCAGAAAACATTCCATTTCATTTCTGACGGTTTCCAATTTTCCCAGTTTCATACTTTGTACATTCCACATTTCAGTTACTAATGGAGATCTGCAGTTATTTCTTCTCATTTTGAGTCGTGCTCCATCAGCAAATGAAGGTCCCAGTAGCTCAAATCCATTCGTGTCATCCTGGTCAACTCTACCTGAAGGAGGCTCTTCCCCAGTCATATTCTGAATGTCTGCCAACCTGAGAAGCTTATCTTCTGATCTTCAGAAGCAGTCTGTCCCTTCTTCTCCCTAGTCTGTCTTAATCTGGAAACGCCGATAAAACCTGTCCATATTGGGTGTTTCTGCTGGGATTGAAACACACAGCCTACCACAGTATGGGGAAATGATAGGTGAGTAGTGGTCTTTACGATATGTTGTTGTTGTTAGGTGCCATTGAGTCACTTCAGATTCCTGGTGGCTAGATGCACACCAGAACGGAACACGGCCTGGTCTGCGGCATCCTCATCACCTCTTCTAGACTTGAACCCGCTGCTGTTCTTTTTGATGATGAATGCGACGCCATTCCTCTTTCATTTGTCATTCCCGGCACAGTAAACCATGTGGTTGTCAGATTCAAAATGGCCAATACCTGTCCATTTCAGCTCACTAATGCCTAGGATATTGATGTTTATGCGTTCCATTTCATTTTTGACAGCTCGCAATTTTCCTAGGTTCATGCTTCATAACTTCCATGTTCTGCTTATTAATGGATGTTTACAGCTGTTTCTCTTCATTTTGTGCCCCATCAGGAAATGAAGGGCCCGAAAGTTTTACTGCATTCACATCATCAAGATCAACTGTGTTTTGAGGAGGCAGTTGTTGCCCAGTCGTATTTTGAGTGCCTTCCAACCCAAGGGGCTTATTTCCTTTAACTCTATCTGATGATATTCTGGTGCTGACAGTGTTCCACTGATATTCATAAGGTTTTCAGTGAAAAATTGTTGTCGGACTCTCCTTCTTCCTAGTCTATCTTCATCTGGAAGCTCAATTGAAACTTGTCCACTGTGGGTGACCTGCTGGTATTTAAAATACCGGTGGCACAGCTTCCAGAATCACAGCAAGACTCACGCCCCCACAGTACAGCACACTGACAGACAAGTGGTGGCTCTAAGATACACGTATACAAAAACATGTATAGAGAAATGACTATATGTAACATCTATATTAAAAAATACATGAAGTTAGGTTTAAATATTTGAACTATCTCCAAAAAATATACATTAAAATTAGTATACATCTGGCAGTAATCAACAGTGAGGTGAGAGGCCAGAGTTCAGCTGATGCGGTGGTGAAGGGGGCGTGTCAGTGTGTCTCGCCTGCGACTCTCATTGGTGCGGCAGTTACGCAATTACGTGTCATCCTCTGTTTCATTGGAACCAACCACATCACTAAGTAGGAAGAGGGTAACTACACTTTTACCTGTAGTATCTTGTTAGCAAAATACACTAACATTATAGTATGCATCAAACTATTAAAATGCTGAGACATTTCAACATTTCAAATTCTTTTAAGGCCTTTTTGTTGGGAAATTGAGTTTCCTTGGCTATGTAATACAGACCTAACCATCCATACTTATTTACCATATAAACAAATAGGTATGGTATTCACCGTAATAAATATCTATAGCATTCACCAGCCGCTCCTCAGAAACCCTGGCCAGGGTCACTAAGAGTCGGAACTAACTTGACAGCACGTAACAACAACATGGCTTAAGTAGTGTGTTGTGATACATTAAACAGCCTGTTACATGGTTATCAATTTTAAACAACGATACAGAGACCTCTGCTCTACAGTCAGAGCTCTGAGCTTTCACTGACAGCAGACAGGGACTGTATTTACACAGCCATCTAAATACAGCTGCAAACAGTTTTTATAGAGGCTGATTTACTGAAGTAAACGATTTATAATCCAACACAAGTAGGGCTTTTGGAACTTACCTTACAAAACCAAAAAGGAGACAGAGGATCCCCCTGCATTTGTAGGACTCCTTTTGCAGCTGAACGCTAGTTTTGCTTTTCACCTTTTTGCATCAAAGTGAAACTCCTCTTTGGATTTCTTTCAGTTAGTGAAAACAGGTACTGGTGTAGGTCTTTCATGAAGGCCTTGATTCATACAGCAAACTTTTGGGAATCGGGGGTGCCTATACTTACATCTCGTAGCTGTGTTTAATCACTGATAACCACTGATTAGGACAGAAACAAAACCACTCCTTTCATTTTTAATTTATAAGCACCGTGGTTGGTGGCAGCTACTCATCATTTAGAAATTGCAACCTGATTTGACGTTTTTGTTTGTAGATTTTAAAAAAGAAAACAAAGATGCTGTAACCCAGTCCTACCATAACCCAGGTAATCTCTGTCCCAGGGCAGATGCTGTTCTTCTCTTGTGGAGCTGCAGCCATACAGAGTAACAAAGCCGTGAAATGACAGTTTCCACGATTCTTTCCAGACACTCCTTGGCAATGTTGTGGCGCCTCGAACACCTCTTCAGACCGAGCTGTCGGCAGCAGCAGCAGCAGCGGAAAGCTCCTTCCACGGGCAGTGCACGGTGTCTGCTGAGGTCTAACAGGGGTGACAGCCTGTACTCCCCTGCTGCACTTGAACTCCAGAGAGAAACAGCTGCCCTGCCCAGACACGCTCCTCATGATTCAGGAAGGTGAGCCTGCCTGGCTGGAGGTTAGAGAGAGCTTACCTGCTATGGTGTTGAGAAACATCAAGTACTCGAAGTTGGAAATCTCCCTTCTTTGCCAGCGCTGAGTCATGTTGGAAGATTTGTAAAGCTGCCGGGGAGTGGCCAGTGAGATCCTCCTGCAGGTAGGCATCCCAAAAAAGGTGCTCATGAGACTCAGGATTCAAAACAATCCACCCTTAACTCTGTACCAGTTAGATCATCCTCTCAAAGTAATTCAGAGTCTCCTTATACGAAGTATGGTGTAAGCGGTCATGTGCCGTGGAGTCGGTTCCGACTCATAGCGACACTGTACAGGGTTTCCGAGGCTGTAAATCTTTACAAGAGCAGGAAGCCTCATCTTTCTCCTGTGGAGCAGCTGGTAGTTTCAAACTGCTGACCGTGAGATTAGCAGCCTGACGTGTAACCACTACGCTACCAGAGCGCCTTAGATGAAATATACAAGGCCTTAGTTATAGATTCTGGCATTTGCTGTAGGGACGATGCACTTCTGCACTCAGGGGGACCCATGTGAAAGGGACTCTACTTGAAGCCACACGGCTGCACAGGGGTATTGATGAGACCATACTAACAAAAATGGTCAAACTGGGCTCAAGACAGGTCAAGGTGGGCTTAGACAACATGGTAAGTTTCCTCCCTGCTCATGGCTTAGCTAAGTCAGGCACCTACCTACACACACCTCACTGAACCTTCTGTGACTTCATGCTCATCAGTAAGCTGCTTAGGTAGTCAGCTGGTGATGGCGGCAATGTGCCGTGGAGTCGATTCCGACTCATAGCGAGCCTGTATAGGTTTTCCGAGGCTATAAATCTTTACGGGAGCAGAAAGCCTTATCATTCTCTCATGGACTCCAATTGCGGGCCTTGTTTCTTAGGTAGTCAGGTAGCTACTGACACACATCACTGAACCTTCTGTGAATCTACTTCCTGCTCACTGGTAAGCTGCTCCAACCCCCCAACAATAGTCACATGCTCTCAACTTCAGCTTGGTCTCTCACTCTCTCTGCCTTGGCCATGCTCTACAAGATTTGCTTGGTTGTCAAAGCATAAACGTGCTGAACCCATGAGCACTGTGTTAAGCATCACAGTCACACTATTGCTCTTGGGACTACAGCTGAACCTTCAGCAGGGCTAAGAACAAGGCAGGCCATTAGCTACATTGTGAATGTCTTTGTTGACATTTTGAACTCAGAAATTGAAAGCTAATGAAAAAAAAAAAGAGAGAGACAAAATACCTCCTGATCTGGACATTATTCTCTCCACCAAAACCAACCAACCAACCAACGAACCAACCAAACAACCAACCAACCAACCAACCAAACAACCAAACAACCAAACAACCAACCAACCAACCAACCAAACAACCAAACAACCAACCAACCAAACAACCAAACAACCAACCAAACAAAACCAACCAACCAACCAACCAACCAACCAACCAAACAAACAAACAAACGGAGGTCTTTTTGGTGATAAACTGTTAGCAATGGGGATCCTCAGGGAAGGCCGTTAATGTCATTCTTAGAGTAGGTGTTGTTGTTGTTTCTGTTAAGTGCTACTGAGTCAGTTCTGACTCATTCAGACCCTGTATAGGGTTTCCAAGGAGTGACTGGTGTACTTGAGCCACAAAGTTTTGGTTCAAACTGACTTTGCAGTCCAGTGCACGAACCCACAGCGCCACATCGGGACTCCAGTGAGATGTGAGCCCAGGAGAGGACCTAAAGGATATGTCATTTCAGGGGTCTGATTTGTTTCTGAGGTTTACTTGTGTCTTTCACTGTAAATGCACTGGGTGTGGGGCCTGTGTTTTCCTGACTGTGGTATTCTTAGCATCGAGCAATGGTTAGCGTGTCCGCAGTAGGGTCTCAGTAAGTACAAAGTGTAGGACTTCACTGATTGGTCATCCATGCCAAAAGGGGAGACGGCTGAAGAGAGACATGAGGCTAAAGAAGTGAATTCACAGTTCAATCTCGTGAGCTAGAAAACATGGGACTCAGTAAACTATTAGGGTTGCTTGAGACACCAATAACATGTGCAGAGTTGAGAATGACGGTTGTTAGGTATCATCGAGCCGATTCCCACACATGGCGACCCCATGTGACATCTTTTCTCCCGTGGAGCTGCTGGTGGGTCCCCACTGCCCACCTTTCCTTCCGTTAGCAGCTGAGCACTTAACTGTTCCATCACACCAGGACTCATCGAATGAGGATCAGCCACAACTCTTGAGTTGATTTCAACTCACAGAGACCCTCAGGACCGAGGAGAAGTGCCGCCCAGGCTTTCCAAGGCTGGCATCTTTACGGGAGCAGACTGTCTCCTCTTCCCCGCAGAGCAGCTAGTAGGCTCAAACCACATGGTTGGTGGGGAGCAGCCCAACACTTAACCCACTGCACCACCAGTAGGATGCTTGTGGAACTGATCTAATGAAGGCAACGCTTCCATGAACTAAAAAGTATAACAAATAGTGACCACTTCAAATAATGAGCAACACGAATACGATGTTGGGAATGAAACAAGAGTGGGCTGGCTGCTATGGCCGATGGGCTCACACGTTAACTAAAGGACAGCCACGGTGAGGGGTTCAGATGGTGCCGTCGCTGCGCTGGAGCTGTTCTTACACCAGCATCCGCCCAAAGGGCTCCCACTCAAGGCACGTGGGGAGGTGCAGGAAATGTTAGCTACCGATGTGAACCAAAGGAGCCCTGGTGATGCAGTGAACTAAGCACTGGACTGCTGACAAGGAGGTCGGCAGTTCAAACTCACCAGCTGCTCCTTCGGATAAAGAAGAGGTCACCTGCTTCCATCAATATGTACAGCCTGGGAACCCTAGGGGCCAGTTCTACTTGGTCCTATGGGGTCTCTGTGAGTCAAAACCTACCGGACACCAGTGGGGTTGGTATGAATTCACTAGAAGGGCATTCTTTAGGTTGTGCTACCCTACAAAAAAGACCCCCTTTGTTTTCACTTCATCTCATTCTGCAGCAAGCCGATTTACTAATGCGACCCCCTGGTGAACTTGCCTGAGACGTGGCCTAAATGATTTATGAAGATCCTGGCAGATACCTGCCTTTGAATTTGCTAAATTAGCATATTCATTCAGAAATCAGTCTTTATGGTTTTAGTTTAGAGAACGAGCCCTAGAGTTTAATAAACTCTCCTTAAACTGACAGACCTCAGTGTCAAGACAGCAAAGGAGAAAGGGATCCCTGGACTTTGTTGTCTCAGGCACTCTCCACTGGAAGGGTTCTGCTTGGGGACCAGCGTTCCCACCCTTGGATAACTCTAAATGTAACAAGGCTTACAAATCCCACATGCATGTGTCTAGGGATGTGTTTGCCTGTCCGTCTATCTACCTATCGTCTACCCATCCATCAGTCCATCCATCCATCTGTAACAAGGCTTACAGATCCCACATGCATGTGTCTAGGGATGTGTTTGCCTGTCCGTCTATCTACCTATCGTCTACCCATCCATCAGTCCATCCATCCATCTGTAACAAGGCTTACAGATCCCACATGCATGTGTCTAGGGATGTGTTTGTTTGTCTGTCCATCTATCTAGCTATCATCTACCCATCCATCCATCCATCCGTCCATCCACACATTCCTATCTCTCCATCTATATCTACCTACCTATCTCTCCTGTCTCTATTTTCTATCCACCCACCCACCCACCTTATCTATTTATCCATCTATATCTATCTACCCATGTATGTATGTGTCATCCATCCATCCATCCATCTACCCATCTCTATAGATCTACTACCTATCTACCTTTCTATCTGGGGTCCTGGTGTAATGCTGCAGGTTAATGCACTGGAACGAAAGGTTGGTTTGAACTGCGAAGTTGGTGTTTCAAGCTCACCAGCTGCTCCTTGGAAACCCTATACAGGGTCACTATGAGTCAGAACTGACTTGATGGCACTTAACAACAACCACCTTTCTAGCTATCCATCCATCCACACACACACTCCCATCCCGTTCTCTCTCTCTGTTATCTGTGTGTGTGCATGCATGTATGCACACAGTACCTGCGTGTAATTAGAGTGCTCTACGTCACCTTCTGTGCCACTGAATCATCTCATGAATACCTGCTGAGCACCCACTCTGTCCCAGGCCTGTTGCTACGACCCAGTTTGTAAGTGGCAGGTCTACGTCTTGACTTGGTGCTTTCTCCAACTACAGACCTCAGGAAAAGACCCAAATGGAGCCTGTCAGCAGATAATTAGGAAACTAAGAAATGCGTTGAGTCTGTGAGGGAAAACCACACGACACTGGCTGAATGAAGTAACAGAGAAATCAAATCTATGTGTTTCCCATTTTTCTATCAAGAAGAATAATCTTACAGTTGTCAAGGAAAGACGAAGAAGCGAAGACCAAACCCACTGCCAGCAAATGGGCCACACTCCCAGGAAGCCTAGCGCTCAGCAGAACGGCTGCAGGGTTTCCACGGCTGTACATCTTTCTCCAGACAATGGTCTGAACCACTGACCTGTGGTTAGCAGCCCAATGCTTAACCCATGGCACCACCAGTGTTCAAGGAGAGACCAGATGTGCTGAAAAGGGAAAGCCGCTCCTGAGGGTCAGGAGGACAGTGAGAGTCTGACAGGACTCAGGCCAGGCCAGGCCAGGGGCGAGGCAGCAGACAACTACTGCTGGTTATGAATGCCGGGTCCTAGAAAAACCCTTGAACTGATGGTTAAACAGACAGACAGTTGGCGAGCACTTGGGAAAGGAAACAGTGATTAGCAGGGTGAGTCAGCTTAGGTCCTGTAGACCAAGGCTGGCAAGAGCCACTTCATTTCTGTTTGACAGACGGATGGAAAGCATTTCCCTGTGACCTGTGACCTCGGCTTTCTCTAAGTGCTTCACCAGCTGCTAAGTCTTCACTGCTTCTGCTCACGGCACCAACACGTCTCTGAGCGTGCACTCACACAGCAGCCGATGGAACTCACACGGCAAGTGTAAGGGAACAGACGTGACACCTTGATGCGGTATGGGACAGCCTGATGGACATGACAAAGTGAACCAGACGGTGGTCACTGTCTTTAAAATGCCTGAAGCCCACTGGAGGGAAGCAACTACCTGGTGTGGTGCTGCAGGCTAAGCATGGGACTAACA